GGAATCAAGCAGGGCTATGAGGTACACAAGAATGGTATGTCCAGCTTGGTATGCAATTAGAAGTCCGGGTGCTTGTCCGTCTAGCTATTCAAGAATGGTTTAGCTTGGTACGCATGAAAAAGTGATTTGGGTGTTTAATACAAATTGGCAAAAGTAAATGAACTTTTGTAAACATCATATTATTATATATTTCGGTTGAGTAGTTTATTGAACTCTACTGGTAGGTTAGATAGTTGGATTTTTCATTATTCTAATGTGATGAATTTTTTGTAATTGATATTTTAATTTAGAAATATCATTTTTGATTAAATAATTCTATTCTTTTTCTTAATAAAGAATTCCAGTCTTTGATTAGAAGGTGGATAAGACCACATTGATGACCATAATATTGGTCACCCAAGCTTTATTCTTTAATAATTTATTATTTAATGACTAAAAGAATTGGTCACCAATCTTGTTGCCCGAATTGCCTAGGAAAATAACTTAGTGACCAAATTTCAATAGTCAACAAACGCAGTTGCCCTGGCTGCCCATTAAATAATAGTGACCAAGTATCACCGTTTAGAGACCACCATTTACCTGGTCACTAATCATTGAATTTTGGAGACCAGTTTTTCTTGGGTCTTAGATTGTTGACCATTCAGAAAAGTTGGTCACCAAAGCCTTTGATGACGAGGCTTTATTGATGACTCCCGGACCAGCAAAATATTGGTCACCAACGGTGTTTAGTGACCAATATTGGTCACCAACCAACGGGTATATTATTGACCAGAGCTGGTGGGTCACCAAAGCCAATTTTTTTGTAGTGAAAACTCTCCCTTAATATATACTAGTGTTTATCCCGCACGATATGCTGGTTATTCAAGATATATTTGACATCTCCGGCAGAATGATATTTGTAAAAAAAATAATATTAATGGTATCAATTGCAGCAGTGTAAGTTTTAATGTGAATGTGTTTTGTTACTTTAAGTATATTTGAAATAATTTTCAGTATAAAAAATAATCCAATATACTTATTGTCCATCTTTTTCATTTTGTTGATTTATGGATTTATATGTTTTAAAAGTATTCTCTTAATTTTCATAACAATATCTCCAAATATTTTTACCCATGTCATATCTTTTGGTAAAAGATCTCCTACATTGTAATCCTACAATACTTCCTTTATCACTCACCATGATTTTGCCACATGGTCTCAACTTGCTGCAATGGTAAATTAGGGTACTAGTAAAATTTTAAAAAATTAAAGAAAGTGATTATTGAATTAAAAAATATTATAAATTTTAAATGTTGGCTTAGGAAGGTTCGTAGGATGGTATAGGAGATTTTTATTTATACTTTCTATATTCTCCCTTTTATAACCTTTCTTTAGAAGTTTATTTGTATATTTTTCATATTTTGTAGTGTTTGCTTCATTTTTTCTTGCTTAGCAGTAATCTCAGTAGTCATATAGAATCCATGAAAAACAAAAAATCACGCCTCCTCCCACATGGGACTCGCACGTAATTGGATTAATGTAATCAACTTAATCGGATCGCATGTATTTGTAGGGAAAAAGTTTGGCCCATTATGGTTTACACAATATAATACGCTATTATATTATTTAAAATTTATTCCATTAAAAATTTGGCCGATTAATATATAATTCTACTATTAGTATTATTACTATTTTACTCTTTTTTTCTTCTGTAATGTTTACACAATGTAATCAACTGTAGTCATTTGTTATTATTTTTTTAATTTTTATATATTACCACGAAAAAAATGAAAGGGATGGTGTTACTTTGTACAACTCTTTAATGCGAAAAATGATATTAACTTTTCAAATGAAAAATAAAAATAATATTAATTTGACTGGTTTTTAATCCCGTCAACTTGGATTCATACGTTTTCCTTTTATGGAAAAGATTTCAACTTGTTTTTCCATTCTTCAGAGTTTTGATCATGATTTCACCTACTCCAAAAATATTGTATTAAAAATAGTACAATAAACCAAACCAAAAATTAGTTTGAGTCGAAAATGAAAAATAAAAATTGAAAAGGATATCTGGAGTTAATTAATTAAGTAGACTCCATGGTTTTCTATTCATAAGAGAGGCCTTTGAAAATGGTTTCTAACTATTTCAGTTAATGCGGTCTTTGCTTTTCAGGCATTAGTGGTTTTTTATTTTTATTCATTTATAATTCAAACTTTATGAAAATTTTTCATTAATTCCTTGCATCATAGGTCATGACATACCGTACTATATACTTGCGTAAATGTATATAACTTATAAAATTTGGTGGTAGAAATTAAAAAATCACCTTTTTTTAAAAAATAATAATAAATAAATAAAAAATGGTGGTCAAGTTTCGTATATAAAAATTAATGGTGACATGGTGTGGAATAAGGAAATACTTTGGTGGTCAGAAGTCAATTTTATTTTTCCTTTAATAACAAAAAAATAAAACCAAGTAAAATTGGTTTATAAAATGTACGCATTTATAAATAAAAAATTACCATTGAATGATGGAGTGATGTGGATGCAAGATGTGGATTTGTGTGTCTAATATTGCGCCACGTGGATTAGCTTATCTAATATCACGCCATGTGTGCTATTGAAAACTCTCCTTTAATATATATATATATATATATATATATATATATATATATAAAGATATAGATCGATATAGATTGAATTTTTTGTTGGCCTTCATACTTCACATTTATGAAAATTAATTTTGCGTTTGCATGTAGCAATTTCAAAAAAAAAAAAACACATTATTATCCTTATACTTAATATAAAGGCACAGTAGACAAGAAATTAAATGCCAAAGAAATATTCAGGACCACCTCCAAATTGATCTCGTACGTCGGATGGCCTTGATATGACGTCAGCGTCTTATTGGGGGCAAAAAAGAGAATACATAAATTCAATTTCAAATTAATGAATGAGAAAAAATCTTAATTTTTCGTTAAAAAAAATTAGAAAAATTCAAGACCACCTTCAAAGCGATCTCGTACGTCGGATGGCCTTCATATGATGTCAGAGACTTATTGAGGGCAAAAAGGTTATTTCCTAAATTCAGTATATCCCAATTTGGGAGGGAAAAAAAAACCCCGTATGCTCTTGAGGTGAAAAAACCCCAACAAAAAAACGACGTCGTTACTTAGGGATTTTATCTATTTTTTAATCACCCAAACTGATAAACGACGGAGTCCAATATGAAAAATCCCCAATCTGAAACAATTTGAGCCGATAATATTTATCCCTAGATTTAGATCTCTCAACCCGATTTTATTTCCGACCACCATCCCTCAGAAACCACCCCACCACCTCGTCCTCGCCATCACCACAACCCCACCATCGGCGATCCCCTCATCCATTTCGAAATTACCTCTTCCCGATTCTATCTCCTGCCACCATCCCTCAGAAATCAGCCCACCACCTCGTCCCCGCCATCACCACAATCCCGCCGTCGGCATTCCCACGGACACCATGTCCTTGTTCAGTGGATTTGTTCTGTCCCATCAAGAAACACATTCTGATTCCCCCCTTCAACTACGATTAGTAAATCCACTAGGGAAAAAAACCCCCGATTCCAAATCCCCTCGTCGGGAATCATCCACCCGCCTCGTTCCCATTGTCACCGCACCACCACCGTCGGCTACTCCACCGACATCATGTTCTTGGGCCCTGGATTAATTTTGGCCCAAAAATCAACAATTTTCGATTGCCACCTTCGAACACGATTAGGAAATCACCACAAAAAAAATTACCAATTGCAATCAGATTACCAATCCGATTACAATCGGATTTATAATTGCAATCCGTTCTATAAAAACCCGAGCACAAATTAAACCACGACATTCTCCCTTCACAGCTTAGCAACTCTCGAGGAACCTCTTTTTACAGCTTTGCAACTTTGCAACTCCTGGCTGATAACAGGTAAATTTCTCCCTTTACAGTTTATGTTGTTGATGAGTTTGCATGCGTTTGGTTTTGCACAACTGAGATGCTCAATTCTAGCTTCGATTTGGTAGCGTTTGGTTTTTGGTTTTGCTCAACTGAGATGCTCAATTCTAGCTTCGATTTGGTGGAGGGTATGTCCCCGTTTCGTTTCAATTAATATAAACACTGGTTGCTCAACTGAATTGGTCAATTCCATTATCAATTTGCGTTTGGTCTATTCTCTTCCTAAATCTTACTATTGGCAATGCTCCAGTAACTTCTGGAGTAATTTTTAATTGTTTAGTTCTTTCTTTTACGGATTTCTCCCTTGTCCCTGGTTATGTTAATGTTGGTCTCGATCATAAAGAAGTTTGCTGTTCTTGAGTTGCATCATTGGGGTGATTTTGCTTCTTACCATTGGTTTATATTATGGACATAAGCTGATTGGTAGTTTTGATTCTTTTCTGCTTGCTGAGATAGTGAGATTGCAAGTTAGGCCTACAAAATTTTTTCATTCTTTTATGCTTAGATTAGAGTGTTATAAATTTAAATCAACACTCTTACTGCTTGAATGTTTAAATCATGAACAGATTCACTGTTTCACGATAATAATATTAAAAACATGAACACTCTTACTGCTTGACTTTCACTATTGATTACAGACATTATTGTTGACGCTTATTGGTGAATGGTTCTAATCTAATATGCTTAGTATGTTCTGTTCACATTGATATTTTGATTTAATCCTGCTGACATGAGTTTCACTTTTCAGGTTTATAGTCCTTCTTCCGATTCAATTATGCTTTTTTTTTGGTGTGCCTGACTTTAAAGTGTTTTTAGTATAAGATGATCCTGTTAATTCTGTTGTTACATTTAGCTCTGTTAAGCTCTGCATTTGTTAGGTTATTTGATTTTCTGGTTTAGTAATATCAGGCATGCTAAATATCGTACATTGCTTTTGTCGAGTTATACTAAATGTTTCCTTATTGTTCTATGAAAACAGATTTCAGCTCATTTAAAGTGCAATCTTGTGCATCTGCATCAAAAGAAATTTCTCCAAAACCAAATGGCTCCTCATGCACCAAGGATGATTGGGAACAAAGTTGAAATTGACAAGCTGACCGACTCTGATAAGCCTTGGAGTGTTGTTGTTACTGTCGAGGAGAAGCAAAATCCTTTTGGCAACTATGCTAAAACCCAGAAAATGATATTCAGTGATGAAAAGGTGAATTAACTTTTCTATGTTTGATATTTGAGATACTAACATTCACATCCCCTGTTCACCATACTAATGTTTGATTTAAAACTGTAGGGTGCAAAAGTAGAAGGCATCATGTTTGGACAGGCTGTCGGCATTATGGCACCACAATTCCAGGCATGCAAAAAATACCGCATCTCCAATGCACCTATCCGGTTCATAAAACCAGCGTATAGGATTCCTGGTCTTACCAAACAATGGGTGATCGGTATTGGAACGATTGTTGAAGAGGTTAACGAACCAATTACTGCTCTTGTGACCGAAGAGCAATACACACCCTTTGATTCCCTCAATGAGTTTGCTGGTGTTCAAGATGGTTTTGTTGGTAAGTATATCTGATTTTGTTCACCTGAAAAAATCAGACCAAAAATTAAATTTATGTTCATCTATACCCTTTTACAAAACCTTTTTGTTGCAGATGTTATTGGTATCATCGTCGAGAGAAACCACCCGCAAACTGTTATGACACGAATTGGGAAAAAAAGAATGATCCAGAAATTCTGTATGCTGAATGAAGAGTAAGTCCACCATAATTGTTTTCTAATTATTATATATATAATGTAGATATACTTTTTAAATAAAAAATTTCTCTCAGAATGCTCAACCCACTTTTCCCAACACTAACTTTATTTACGTAATTCCTTCACAATCAGGTTGCAATATGTGAGATTGTCACTGTGGGAAGAATTCCACCAAGATGTGGGAACATTATTATCTGAACAAGTCCAAGTTGAATCCGACCGTCATTTGCCTCCGGATGCTTGTCTCCGCCTACAACGGTACACTACTAAGCCCTTTTCAAAACATACTTCTCCACTACACTTTTTCTGCACACTTGTTTTTTTGATTGTTTACAAATCACCGTAATCAGGAATCGAGGAACTGGTATGTATATAATTTCCCTAAAACAACATTGTTTTCAACTTTTGCGAAATTTCTCAACACCATATTAATTAGACGTATTAATCTTTTACAGGTCACAGCAAAACAAGAACAAAATCAATCTTTTCTTGTAGAATAAACCTTCATCCTCGTCTACCTCTTATATCAGCCACACAAACCTTTCCCACATCACTCCAATCACACATATTGATGACGAACAACAGGTTGGAACTTTTTGTTTTTAATAATCTTTATGCAACCTGTTTTAGTTTATATATCCATCTATCTAAATTAGCTAACTTTTACACTCTGTCCGACAAAACTAATAGGATATCTTGGTCAAAATTCACGTTGAGTTTAGAGACATACCACAACTATTCTACTACATGGCTTCCAAGGAATGCGGCACTGGAACCACAACAATCTATCAACAAGATTTCAAATGCAACAAATGTTCAGTGAAGCAATCAGCAACCAACCCAAAGTATGACAAATCAAATTTCTTAATATATTAGTTTTGAGACATACCTGCAAATACATAACATTTTCAAATCATACTAGGTGTCGACTAAGAGCTAACATTCATGACGAGACCGGATCAATCCAAGCTAGCATTTTCGGTGATATCGCAGAAAAGATATTGGGTTTCACTGCAAGAGAAATCGTCGAAACCCCTGCAAAGGTATACGTGTTCTTTTCACCCACTTTCTTTCCTTTATACTTGCATCGAAAAAATGACGCGTCCTTAATATCTTATTTCTTCTTTGAACAGATAAATCTTCAAGAAATACATGAGTTACTAGAGACCAAAACATTCCTATTTCACTTGAGAGGATAAAAAAGAATGTACCGAGGGCTTCAGGATTACTATGTTGCCAACTTAATTGAGGACAATGGTTCTTTTGTGACCCCATTACTAATACCCACCAGAGAGAGCGAACTCGCAGATGAACTTCCTGAGGAACCCACCACTGAAGTTATTTCGATCAAACAAATAGGCAACTGACATGAGGTCAGTTTGTCGCTAAATCAATACCTCCTTTTGCCTCTGCATATCTTAAATCCACTTGTTTTCCTAACTTGTACAAAATTCTGGTTTTCCTCCTTGTGAAACAGAACGTTACGGTGAGAGTTTACATTGATTTCAAAGGCATACCTCAAACGTTCTACTATCTCGCTTGCAAAAACTGTGATGCGGGAACCTCATACATGTATAACACTCCATTCCAATGCACCATATGCAAAGTGAAACAATTTACAGACAACCCAAGGTACAAAAAAAAAATCATTTTCACTTCAAAAACTACACCACATTTTCGAAACAAATAACAAGAGATTTTAATTACTGCCTCAATTTTCAAGATGTCGCATAAGGTTGAACCTGCGTGATGATACAGATCACTTGCAAGCTAACGCGTTCGGTGTTATCGGAGAGAAACTCTTGGGTGTTACAGCAAAAAAGATGATTGAAGAGCGAGAAAAGGTATCGCAATCACTCTGTCAATATTTCTTACTTTTGTTAATCTCCTTAATTTATAACAGCACGTATACCAATATTTCTTACTGCCGAAAGCTATGCGGTGTCTGTTTGCTATCTTGCTCGTCTGGTGTTCGCCAGACGACCCCAAGAAACTTTGGCACAAATACAAGGACCACCTGTCCAACGACACCAGCTGGGAGTACAAACAACGACACCGAGTAACACCGACGTTTATCGAGAAGAAGACCCTCGAAGAAATAAATTTCTACGTGATGCAGATGGGAAAAGACCTGATAGATTTCGGTTTCAGCCCATCAGAGTTCGACGACGGCGACGCATCTATAACCACGAGAGAAGACGAAGCAGAGAGGAAATTCAAAGTCGCAACCAAAGACTTAACGCTCCACAAATAGCTCAACGCCGACCAGAAGAAGGCGTACGACATGATCCTCGAAGCAGTCTCGTCCAACACCGGCCTCCCATTTTTCCTAGACGGCCCAGGAGGGACCGGGAAAACCTTCTTGTATCGGGCCCGTCTAGCAGCAGTGAGGTCAAAAAATGACGTGGCGCTCGTAGTCGCGACATCAGGGGTTGCAGCGTCAGCCCTGCCAGGCGGACGTACAACACACAACCATTTTAAAATCCCAGTGAACGACGACGAGGCCTCCACGTGCCAGGTCAGCAAGCAGAGTAGCGTGACGAGACTAATCATCGACTGCAAACTAATCGTCTGGGACGAGGCCTCGATGGCGAGAAAGATGAGCCTCGAGTCGTTCGATGCGCTGATGCGTGACCTGATGGGAAAGGAACTGCCCTTCGGTGGCGACTTTCAGCAGACACTCCCGGTCATCAAGAACGCTCCCAAGGATGAGATGATCGAGTCTTCCATACTCAATTCTCTCCTTTGGCCAAGAATACAAAAGCTGAAGTTCACAACCAACATGCGAGCTGCACTGGATCCGTATTTCTCCTCTTTCCTTCTCAGGCGAGGGAACAGAACCAGTGGACGAATCATGCCAGATAGAGCTACCAAGAGAGTTCATGATACCTTACGACAACAAGGAAAGTTCGCTGAACAGGTACGCTGCGAAGACCCAGAATAATTTATCCTTCCTAAATTAAATTCTTATTCCCCCTTCTACTATCCTTTAATTGCAAACTACAAATTAAATTAGATAACTACAACCTAACCTAACACACTCCCTTACAAGCTCGTCGCATCCGTATTTTCAGACCTACAGTACTGCGCAGACAACCCGTCATACATGATGAAGAGGTCCATCTTGGCGCCTACCAACGACGCAGTTGATGAACTGAACGCAGAACTGATAGACCAGTTCTCGGGAGACCAGCACATCTACATAAGCGAGGACCGGACAGAAGACGAGAGGTATCAGGATGATTACGAAGATTTCCTAAACTCACTCAATCCGAAAGGCCTGCCCCCTCACAAGCTGGTACTGAAATACAACAGTCCCATAATGCTCCTTCGTAATCTGAACCCGACATAAGGTCTATCTAACAGAACTCAATCACAGCCGAGATCGCTTTCGGACAGCACACAGGCAAAAAGGTGTTCATCCCGAGGATCCCCCTCAAATGCGACGACATCGGCGTACAGGGCATCGCGTTCAAGAGGTTCTAGTTTCCCATCAAGCTCTGCTTCGCAATGACCATCAACAAGTCACAAGGATAGATGCTCGAATACGTCGGCCTGTATCTGCGCGAACCAGTGTTCTCGCACGGACAGCTGTATGTCGCCCTATCCAGAGCCAAGACATCCAAGTCAGTGAATGTCCTAGCAATGCCTCCTACGTTGGACGAGGTGTTGCAAGACAACAACAAGACTCGAAACGTGGTCTACAAAGAGGTCTTCGACCTCGCCGAACAGTAGGAAATATCATGACACAAGAGTTTTTATTTTTTTAATTATTGAATTCTTTAGTCCTTCACTACCTACATATTGATGTTTCTTTTAAAACAAATAGTACAGATAAAAATTTATTACCGTTACGTTTATTACCGTTACGTTTCCATAATAAGTCACTGACATCATATCAACCCCATCCGACGGACGAGCTCAACTCGACGGTGGTACTTGAATATTTTTTGGGCATTATTTTTTGCCTACTGTGCCTTTTATGCGCGGCCGAATTGACACAATATGTTCCTCATCACAATTTAATCTACACTATTAACTAAAAATATAGATGCAATAAGAAATATCAAAAAAAAAAGAGTAAACAACAGATAAGAAGACTGGTCACAACGAGAAAAGCCTAATCAGAAATATAAGACCATTTGATGGTTCAAAGAGTAATAAAAAGAAAAAAGAGAGAGAGATTACTATGGAAAAAGCACCTACTGCCGGAAACAGGCAATTTGGAGTTCCATGCAGGTAAATTTCATAAACAAAAAAAATAGGAGCTCAATCTGATTATGATTGGCCTTGAATTAAGATACAATTGCAAGTGTTAATGGAAAAGCTTGATTGTGGGATCCATTCGACATCCGTTACATACATTAATTTCACAAAAATTTGTTACATACATTAGTATTCCAAAACGGCTGGGTGTCTTTGGTTTCCACGTTACGTTAATATTTAGCCATTTCGTTACAAGCGAAATCGAAGTTCAATTGAACAGTTGAAGTGAATTGATGTTTAACAACTTCCCCTGAATTTTATATTTATAACACACAAGGACATCCCAGGAAAGTTCCAAAGAAGAGAAGACAAAAGTTTTTCTTACCTACCATAGTGCTATATACAGTATTGAGTTTTTCGAGGTATTTTGATAGAAAATATAAAAGTATTATTTTTGTTTCAAAATTATTGTTCTGTTTGAGTGTAAAAAAATATAAATATTTCACTTTTATTATAAATTAAATTAAATATGAAAATTCAAATTGGACAATAATTTTAAAACGGAGCGAGTAGTTTATTTTTTACCACCTAAAAAAAGGCAGTTGGTTTTATTGACATGGAGTTGAAAAAAAAAAAACATTTTTTCTCTTTAAAAGAAGACATTGGCCATGTGAACTTCATATACATTAATCATGACACTTTCAAATTGAACCAATCTTCGTTAAAGATTAAGCCCATTATTAGTAATTCATGTCCATAACTTTAGATTAAAAGTTTCTACACGCATGATTTTAGGTACTTCTTCCATTTCAAAAGTATTATACAGTTTAGATTTCTTTTTGAGTAAAAATTGATGTAAAAGTGATATTTCAAACTGGACAATAATTTTGGAAAAGAGTGACTAGTATAGAATAGGAGTAAGATCAGAGTTTTGGACCAAATATAATCAAAATTGTCCTTATGTGATTGTAACTAGCACAACGTTCTCGAGTCCGACTAAACGTCTCATTAAAGCATTGGTGAACTACTGAAATTTTCGAATAAAATCATTCCTAACTGACGTGTGATTCGGTATCATTCACAAGCTTCCCAACCCACCCCCCCCCCTGCCCCCACACCCTCCCGCGCTACACATATAACCAATATTCATATGGTTATTCTGAGGTATATCATATACGTCTCAATTAGGGTGGTCTTTGTTTGTCCGGGTGACCCATTGCGAAGCAAAGATCTCAAAAACATTATCGACTGTGTTTAAAGTTTGTATTAAATTGCATGCGAAAAACGGCTATAATTTTTGCATGTGAAAAACGATTACAAATTAATCGAGTTTATCAGTTCCCGTGCTGCTACTAATTGACAACGTACAAATATGGGTACGTAAATTTCTAAATTTTCTATAGTAATTGCCGGTATCATAACTATGATCCAGAGTATAACGTCCAAATTCCATCCGTTTGCTCATTTGACAACTAACAAAGAGTTTGAAAATTAACTCCTATCTAAGAGATTATGACATATTTGGTGTTACATGACAAATAAAAAACGTTCAAAATGGTGTTTATTTACCTATTAAGATCCATTTCAAATTTATTAAACACATATATCACGTGTATAACTCATATTTGTTACACGACATCTAGTTCGATACGATACAGTAACAATTTGTCTTCTAACATTGTCTGTAACTTACATACTTACATCTATAAATATCCATTCCAATTAACAACAAAAATTACATATCGAAAACTGAAACATTGAAAACAAGAAAATCCTCCATTCATCGATTCCTTCCCTTACCTTCCTTTCCCAAAAGAACAAAAAAGAATAAAAGACAAGATTCCAGTTGAAATAATGGCCAATCAGAAAATCGCAACCCTAGCATTGTGTTTGGGCACGATGATCTTGACTCTTTCCTATCTCAGCTATGGGGAAATCCCTTGTGAAACTGTCCTTAGTGATCTGACTCCATGTCTCGGTTTTGTAATAGGAGGTGGGGAGACAGTTGATCCGGCTTGTTGCAGTGGATTCAAGACGGTTATCGGGTCGGCGAAGACGAAACCCGATCGTCAAAGCGTTTGTACTTGCCTGAAATCCTTGGCTTCGGAAGCTACCGATGCGGAGCTGGCGAATGCTGCCCGGATCCCTAAATTGTGCGGAGTTAAAGTTCCATTCAAGATTTCTCGTGATATTGACTGTTCCAAGTAATACCTCTCTTTTTGTACTGCCATTACAGTTTAGCTTGTTCATTATTCATTCATTTCCTCGTTCGATCTTGTTTTTACATTTTGATGAGATCAAGTATTTATGTTCCGAAACTTTCCTGTTCAGGGTTTTTTTTTTTTTTTGGTCGGTCTTTTTCGAGCGTAGAAAAGGGGAAATAGTCAAGGGATAACGAGTTTCTTTCTTATTGCGTTAAAACTATCAATCAATTATACTTCCTTGTACAAAAATTATTGTTCAATTTGGATTTTTATTTTTAGTTCAATTATTGTTCAGTTTAGATAATTGAACTAAAAAGTAAAAATATAAACTGGACAATAATTTTTGGACTGAGGTAGTTATACAATTTGTTTAGATTGTTGGTAGTAGTTTTTCAGATAATAATTTCACAAAAAAAAAAGCACGAGAAAAAATTTCTGTGGCTCTAGAAATTCTTACTGAAGTATATGCTATAAGAGTATTATGTCTACTCTAAGAGGAGTTTCCAGTGGACTAATAGACAGGAAAAAGGAAAAATATCTGCAATATTGGGAGTGACAATTAAAACAATTTTTTTTTAAAAAAATTCTTAATTTCATATACAAATTAAACTAAACTGGCCAAAGCAAATTAGGGAACCCAATAAGTGATGTGGCTAAGCTGTCCCGAACTGGCCTCCAATTTGATAAGGGAAAATAATGTAGTGAAAACGATTTTTGTTTTTTCGGACGAAGAAATAATTTGTCCCAAACCTACATTTTATTTAATTTATTATTATTATTATTATTATTATTATTATTATTATGATTATTATTATTATGGAAATTATTATTAACTTAGAAATGTAGTCCTCTTAACTGATCACTTGGTGCATCTCTTGCAGGGTGAAGTTGCACTAACCAGTTGATGTCGGAGTTTTCGTTTTGAAGAATGGATGACTTCAATCATTCAAAAAAAAAAAAAAAATGGATGGCTTCACTCTTTGGAACGATAGGTGGCCACTTAATGAAATATTGCCTCCATCTTTATTACCACTACATATATATAAGCCACGAGTTAAAATAAAATTCTGTTCAAATTTTGTGCTTTCTAATGTAATATTAAACCTTTGTTGTTTTCCTCTCTATTTGTCTAAAATATTATTTTGTATACTTTTGTCCATTCCTGACTCCTTTTATTTGCCTTAATTGATGTTTGAACTTTTAACGTTCAGGTGGTTGTTAATATAATTTATAATTTCCAACTTTATTGTCACACTCGACCTTTCTGTTCGGACATTTCATTTGTGGTTAGTAAGAATCTTGCTCTTGCTATACGAAAACAATTGTCTAATTTGAATATTTATTTTTATAAAATTTATACAGAAATGAAATTGTAAAGTCGATAATCATTTCGAGATGCAGGAAATATAATGTTAATTTGTTTCAAATGCGGTCTAGTTCCGTGATTCCTAAGTTTGATTTAAGGTAAAAATTTCCTTAATTAGCATTTAGTGAGCAACGAAATGAAATCCCTTGATTTATAAAATGTATTTTTAATGAAAAAATTTTCTTTGAGAAAACTGTTTGCCTGTGATATACTCTCTATGCACCTTTTAAAAATTTCAAAATTGAATGTGAACTATTTTTTTAGAATATAGAATATTATTATTATTTTTTCCGTACAATAAAGGAGGCTAAAACCTTGAATACTATAACACTAAACTATCATATTTTTTGTTGACGGAAAAACATGATAAAGTTATGTTCCAACCAAATTCTGATGCATAAAATATTTATTTATTTGAATAATGTCTTTTTATAAGCTCTCATTTTTTTATGGTGTAGCAATTTTCGTAGCTCAAATGGTGGAACCTGGATTAATATAATCATATTTGGTACTCATGCAAAAAATTAAAAGGGTGGGGAGAAGGCAAACCTGGAAGGTTATTTAATGAATCCTGAGCGTTATTAACATAACATTTCGTACAAAGTCAAACTTAATGAATCTTGAGAGTTTGGTTCGTGAGCGATACACTATATATTTAGTATAAATGTACCTCTATTAAATCAACTGCTAAACATACATATCTCTAACGTAAATACATGATTATTACACATTATGGACTTCGCAAAGTTTAGAACATAAAATTTTCCTTGTTTTTTAATCGGGGAATCAATGTTCTTAAATGAAGAACAATTATGCCATGAAAATATCACAGTATTGATCTCTTCATATATGTGCCTTTTTTTTGTTACTATCACTCAAAGAACAATATATGTAAATAGGTTCTGGAATAATAGACTATTGACCAGGGAGAGATTGCTGAAAATGAACTTGCTGGTTGGGGATTCTGGTTGTGTGTTCTGTCAGCATGGCTTAGAATCCTTAGAACATTTATTCTTTGACTGCAACTATTCTGCTTCACTTATGGAGAAAGGCCTTCATTGGTTAGGCATCAGTAAAAATCTCAGGAAGCAGAATGATTGGAGGAGGTTTGTGTTAAATGACTGAAAGGGAATGAAGTTAAAAAGAGGTGTGTTGGCTGCAACTGTGGTGGCCGTGGTGTATAATATATGGAAAGAAAGGAATGCAACAATACATGCTGGTAGCAGGGGAGATGAAATAGAAGTCCTGAAAGGTATAAAACAAGACGTGCAATGGAGAACAGAAGCTCTTACAACTTACGAGTTCCAACAGAAAAGCCTTAAGAGGCTGCATTTTGTCTGAGTTGTTTAGTCAGTAGATGTACAGGGTAAAGAATAGATAGTGTTTCCTTATATAATGGAGTAGTTTTTGGTTTGTAAATACGCACATGCTCAATCCGTAATCAATATATGTACAAGTTTACCAAAAAAAAAAAATTGCTTTTTGGAACAAGTTGTCAAGGAAAATGTGAACTTATGTACTCCATTTTGTGACAAAAAAAAGAAAAAAAAAATTCCCAAGGGAGAAATGCATATCAACATACATTATCATGTTTCTGTCCAGAGACATGGTTCGGTTTTCAAATTTCAAACAAAAGTAGCACTTTTATCATTTAGGAAGACAAATATAAAATTAATCCAATATCTACTTGACTTGTTTCCTTTTCTTCTGTTAATACTCAGTACTAATTATTTGTAGTACCACAATTCAATATTCAGTATCAAAATGTCTCGTGTAATGACAGCAAAATTTCTCGAGCAAATAGAGATCAAATTGAATAAATAAATTAAGTGGTGTTTGTTTTGTTTGTTGGTTCGGCCGTAGAGAAGAAGAAAAAAATAAATAGAGGTACTTGTTTGGAATTTGGAGGTGCTTGCTTGGTCAAATTTTGTTTGATCTTCACGTGAGACAAAACACCAAGCAATTAGGTGATTAAGCAACTTGTTTGGTTAGATTTCTTTGGTGATTTTGGCCAAAAAAAAAAAAAGAGGCCGCAGATTTTTATTATAAAAATAAATAAATAAATAAATAAAAAGAAATACATGTCGTAAAAAAAAAAGAGAAGAGTACATAGTTGCTGTTTTTGAGTTATTTTAGAATTAGGTTTGAAAATTCCCTAAAATGTGTTTGTTTGGAGACTAGGGTTTTTCGAAATTCATAAACCCTAGAATGTTTAAGTAGCCCGAGAATTAGGGTTTAAGACTTCCACCCTAGTTCAAATATTTTCTTATATTTTTGCTCGACAATTTAGTCCTTGCTTTACGAGTTTCTTTTCATATTTGTGACGTCAATAATCGATTTCATGCTCTTCATAAATTTGTTACAAATATTTAGGTAATCTTATCGTAGAATTCTTGTACGTTCATTGCTGAGTAACCTCATTGCACAAAGGTTAACGAGTCAAGGACCGTGGTAAAACAAGAGTGAATCTTTCCCTTTCTACTATAATCTAAACTTTTTTCTTAGAGTTATTGGGTGAGTGTTAGTTTAGTTGGTAATGAATTTACATAGAGGAAGTGAGTTCTTCGCAATCTTTTTCTTTTGTGTGTGTGTGTTGGATTCATAGATACATGGGGCAATGGTGAACAAAGAAGGAACACTTTCTTCAGCAGATGTGTTAAAAATCTTGGCAGCCTTAACGCAAATATCCACAAAAGTGGACAAACAAAATGAAGATCTTTATCAAATTCGAAGAAATGTTGTTCAAGGAGGGAATTGCAATAGTGCTTGCCTTGGACAAAGGAAGGTAAAATATGATCATGGTATTGATGGTGGTTTCCAAGGGAATACTTGCTACCAAGAAGATGATTATCATGAAAGAGAAAGGGTAAGAAGGATACGATATTATGAGTCAGTTGAGAAATATCGTGCACAAGAACATCGAGGTCCTTTCGTACCAAGTCAAGTAGCTATTGCCGAGATAAGGATGATTAAAGAACAAACCAAAATTTGTCTAGCTGAGCAAATGAGAATTGAAAAATGAAAAAGCTAAAGAAGTTCAATGGCTATTGAATGCAAGTATGGAGCATAAGAAATTGTTGGTGCTTGAAGAGCAAAAACAAGCTCAAGCTAGAGCTATTGACTTACAAAGGTTTGAGGAGTTGCAACGTGTGAAAGAAAAAGAGCTTGAGTTACAAAGGCTTGAAGTTGAAATGGAGAATCAAGAACGTGAAGAGTGGCAACATGAGTTCGAGTAAGAAATACAAGATTTGGTGATTGAAGAAATTTTTTTTAGCCAATTTAATTCTTTCATTATTTTTGTTTCTTGTTCACAGCTTGATGTTATAGAAGAGCCTAAATCAGTTTCTATAAAGTCTGAAATTCAATCACTTGAAGATGTTAAAGAAGAAGCATTGCATCCTTTGACATTGTTTCAAGAAGTTAAACACATTGACTTTGTTTTTGGTGATGTCTTTTCCAATAGCAAATTGGTTTTCAATCCATTCAATGATTCTGAAGTTTTTGTTGACCAATGTTCATATGTGAAGAATCAAATGAAGTTTATGAAGACATGGCTCCTCCGCAGTTACATGTAGCAAGATTCGAGGACGAATCTTTTCGAAGAAAGGGGGAGTGACGTGAAAATCCCTATACCATTAGAGATTATTCCAAGCCATGGTGATCACTACATTATTATGGTAATACATGCCTTGAATATCTTCAAAATGGTTCATTTGGCAAGGGCTGATATCAATGATGATGGAAGATTAAAACCAAAGTTAGGCGTGCTTAAATCAAGTTGGTAGAACTATGCGATCACCATGCTAAAAACATTGATCATGGATATTCGAGCTCAAGAAGAATCCCAAAAGGTGGACAAAGTTAGTTGGATAATTTATTTAACCTTGGAAAGTGTTGAAGTGCATCCGTGCGTCGGGCAGCTCGTCAAGCGGCTAGGAAAGTCGACAAGAAGCATAGAGATTCCGTCAAGCTTAGTGTCAGCCAGCAACCAAGTCGACAGTGGGTCGTCGAGCTTTGCGTCAGCCAGAAACCAAGTCGACATTGGGTCGTCGAGCTTTGTGTCCGGCCAGCAACCAAGTCGACGACAGAATTTCCACTTTTTGGAAATTCCCCGTTTTGATTTAAATTTGCTTTTAATTTGTTTCCTTTTATATATTTCGACCAAAATAAAATAGGTAATTTTTGGTCTTTTAATAAATATTAAATAATTGTGACATGTGCAATTATTTAATTTGGAGATAATTTCCTTTTTAGGAAACTTTTAGTCTAAGAAATCTTAGTTAGAGTTCTAATAGGATTAGTACTCTTATTGGCCGACATAAAGCCCTATAAAAGGGGGTCTTGTCCGTGGTTTATGATAAGTCTTTGATGAATTATTATTCAATACAAACTTGTGAGGAAAACTCCTTGTTTCTTGACCTTTTGAGGTTATTTGGCTTTTTGCAATAACTAAGGTTTTGCATTAAGCAGCGAACGTACATCCAAGGATAGTGTCCTTGTTTGTGGAGTTAGTTAGGTGTCATTGTAAGGGAGCACATCTATCCATCGTCGTCATAATCTTTAGGCGGGGGTTGTTAGAGTCGTTACTCTTGGGGTTACATCAACATCACTTTCTTCCTTTCCTATCTTTCCATCCTTTTATTTCGGATTTTTGTGGCCCAAATCTCCTTTTGGTTCGTGTGTTTGTGGCTGTTTTGGTGCAAGAATTCAAGTCTTTGGGGTTGCTTCCGCGTTCATAGGTAATTTTCATATCACTTCTCCTCGTGATCGGCCTCTTGTTGCATAGTCACACCATTACTGTTCTCGAGCGGTACACTGCTAGACTTATCACTAGTGGTTTCAGC